AATACCTTGCTGGATGTTTGTATAAGGTGGACATCACTGCTGTGAAGTTAGATGCGCTCCTATATTGAACGACACTTCAGATATGGAGCTGTCTCAGTGGCCTTGTGTGGAAAACAACATTCTCTGCGGTACCGCCTCATTTGTCAAAATCAAAAAAATAAATCCTCCAACCACTAAAATCAGACGTCACTCCATGTTTGTTCACATTTTGTGAAGAAGGAAGTCACGCTCAGTGTCTTCTGAGGTTTTTGTTTCACTCCCTTCAGCGACTCTTGGTGCAGTGCCACCACAGGTGAGGGGGGAGCAAGTTGTTTACAAAGTTTAGTTCATTTGACAAAGAGTGAAACTGAACCACACAACTGAAAATGTAAACAAATCTTGCAATTTTAGTCCCCAATCGAAACGAGTCTACCAGATCATCAGGTGTGAATATGAGCTAGGGCTGGGTAAACAAACAAACAAACAAACAAACAAAAGATTTAATTGATCTTGGATCGATTTCCTTTAAATTAGGGAAAATCGATTCATAGGACAGGAGATAGATTTTCCTCGTAAAGTCTTGTGTGTGTTGAAGCTGAGGGGCGTTTCTATGTTTTGTGTCACTCCTGGCTTGCCGTACGTTTACATCCGATTGACGTTCAGTGCTAACGTTAGCTTCTGACAACAAGTTGTCCGGGACAAAACAAGATAAACTATATAATCACTAACATTATCGACCAATTCTCTGCAGGACTTCAAGATAGAGGCCATGGCAACTTTTGTTTGCAAAGATTTACGCTCAATTATTTAAGAGCAGAGTGAATCATGATTAACTGATTCAGAACTTTATGTCTGAACCTTATGAATCGAATCAATTTAGGGAATTGGCCACAATACCCAGCCCAACAAATGATTAATGTTTATTTCTATTTCTACAGTTTATGTTTATTTAAGAAAAATGCAGCTGAAGCAAACTTGTTTAGAAACAGCAAATGAGAAGTCAAAAATACATTTAAGGACTCAAATAAAAATAAAGAAGAAACTGTTCTATACTCACAAAAAATAAATAAATACAGACATTTCCTATAAATGAAATCTGTCTTCGGTAAATGACATGACTGTGAACTTTGCAGTGATCCGTTATTACAGATGCCAGTGCAAGTGACAGGCACCAGGAAACTATTACTGGAATCCTTTTATTCTTCATGGCTCTAAAACAGGCAAAATGTTTCCTAATAAGCCAACCATTATCTCTGAGAAGCATAAAGCAGACATTAAAACATTTTTTTTCCCTTTGAGGCAGAACGCGTACTCAAGGTCAACTTTTATATGCCATTTATATGCCAACTCATTTACATGCCATTTAGGTTGAGCTCCATAAGTCCAATCTTTCTCATGTTGTCTTATCTTGAGATGTTGGGCGATTACACTGAATGTCATCCAAACCCCTGTCGCTGGAATCAGAGAAAAATCCCGGAAAATGCTCAACACATGGGGGAAGATTTAAAAT